TGGCCCGCGGGCCAGCCGGTCGCCCTGCCAGACGGAGGCAGCCAATCCCCGGGAAGACTCGGGGCGGGGGCGGGGCTAGGAGAAGGGCCGCGGGGTGGGTAGCCAATCACCGAGAAGACTCTGGGCGGGGAGGAGGGCCGTGGCGGGTCCTACAGCCAATCCCCGGGAAATCTCCGGACTGGGACTGATGGAGCTGGCCGCTGGCGGCCCGAGGTGCCAGGTCGGCCCTGGTCCTTCTGGCTCTAGCTGTGGCTGGAGGACGAGCCGACCCTGCGCGGAGCATCCTGCTGGGAACCGGATTCATGGCGCGCCCCGCCGAGCCTTGGCCCTGGTGGATCTGGTTCTCTCAGGCCGAGGGGCCTCCCTCGGCTGCTCTCCGGGGCAGGCCTGGCGGTTCCCCTCTCCTCACCTCAGCGCCTAAGCCACGACTTTGAGTCACACAACCTCTTGGAACCCCGAGCTGCTGTTTCTTACATGTTCCCTTATGTAGTCAGCATAGCTCATTGAGCGCCTACTATGTGCCATGCAACCTCCTAATCCTTAAATGGGTGAAGCAGAGGCCTTCCTTTGACTGCTCTTCCAGTGGAGAGCAACAAATTAAGTATGAAATATGTTCTAGGGTGATAAGTGCCAAGGAGGAAAAAAAAAGCATTTATTACAATTTGAACAACTAAAAATAGCAAACAGTCTTTTCTGGGAACAAATGGTCCCTCTGACGCTAAGAAACAGAGAAACAGAACTCATCATGACTGGTTTTACTGTGCTGCTTTGGAAAATACATTTCGCTGCAGAAATGACTAAATAAGATGAAAGGCTTTTTACCAGGAGCAATAGCTGGTTGGCGCCCGGCACAACTGAGTAATGTCCCATTTTGGTTCATATTTGGAAATGCAGAAGAAGAGACTAAGGCCATGGCCCTGGGGTGCAGGACACAGGGTGCGCAGCCCAGGGGGCAGTCACTAATGAGAAGATACTGGTAAAGATGACTTACTGTTGTGGGGCTGGGGTGGTGGTCTTCAAACCCTTTACCTTCCCTGTCCTCTCCCAGCCTGAATGAGCCTGCAGCTTGCTTTACTCTTCTTGCTGCTGTGCCAGCCAGAGGGACCCTACCCCACCAGTAGCACCACTCCACCCCTCTGGTCTGGGCCCCAGCTCCACTGGGCTCCTGCCCTCTCCTTAGACGACTACCTTTGGTCTCCTGCCTCCTCCCTGACTTCCTCTCTCTGTCTTTTGCTCTTCTGTCTGGTTCCTGATGTGGTTTCATCACTATTCATACTGCCCCTAGCTAATGTTGACTCACCACCCTATTTCTTTTTTTTTTTTCCAGGTAGCACTCTTAGAAACATCTTTCATTAATGTTTCTTTACGCACTGTTTTACATGCATTACAGTGTGGTGGACATATCCATTCACTGAAGTAACTCTGTTCTCAGCTTCACAGAGAATAGCTCTCTTAGGAACATCCTTTATAGATATGACTTTACACACTGTTTCCATTCATTACGGTGTGGTGATATGTTCATTAACTGAAAACACTATTCTCAATTATGCAAACAAGTAACACTTTTAGAAAAATCTTCTGTACATGTGTCTTTAGACACCATTTTACATTCCTAACACCATGGTCACCACCCCATTTCTAACTATGCTTAGTTCATTCATTTCTCTTTTCCTCCCTCTCCCTTTTCCTGACAATTAAATTCACATTTTGTCCCAAGCTATTTTTACCTAGGAAAATATGTGTGTTCTTCACAGTATGGTTGAGTAAGGCCAGGGATGAGGGGAACAATGTTTGTAAAAGAGTGAAAGAAAAATACTCAACCCTTGAGAGCAATAGCCATGTGTTGGGATATATTTATTTGATTATAAAACCAATTTGTATTGAGAAACTACCATATGCCAAGCACTATGGTAGATCTGGAGGTAACTAGATAAAGATAAAACAAGCTCCAAAACATGAACTTTGTCCTTGTGAAACTTTTAGTCTAGTGGTTAAAACAGACATTAATACAAGAATCATTTAAAAATGTAAAACTACCACTTAATAAGAGCTAAAATGGAGGTGTCAAGACCCAACTGAGGTTGAAAAAGGGATGATGAGGCAGAAAACTGAAGAGGAGTTTATGAGGCAGAGGAGAGGAGCTTGGGGAATAGTTCCAGGTGGAGGGAAGAGCATATACAGAGTGTGTGCTCTAGGAGGAAGCTTGGTGCATCCCGGAAACGCAGGAAGGCTGCTGTGACTTCACAAAAAGCCAAGGGATGGGGCTGGAGAGAGATGCAGGATAAGACATGATATAAACTGGGCTGGAGGGAGGATATGACTAGAAATGCTGGTGGCTGCTAGACCATGCTGGACCTTGTAGACCATGTTAAAATGCTCATAAATAATGCTCATTAATAATGTGTTGTATAAATGCATGTCAATGAAAAGTTGATGTTTGCAAGACTAGCATATGTTTAGTCCAACATGTTAACAGGTAATAATAGCTAACCTTCACTGCATACTTACTACATGCTCTGCGCTCCTTTAACTGCTCTATATAGATTATCTCATTAAACCTTTCCAACTACTCTACTGAGCAGGCATGATTAAATTTCTTATTTTGCACCTGAGGATCCACATATTGCTAAAATTTTGTGAGAGCTATTCTATTTGCAGTCTAACAGTATTGATGGCTGATAAGCATACATATTAGGAGTTCTAAGCACATCCAATCAGTGTAGCAGCTAGTGACTCAAGTTCCACCCTAACACTTGCACACTCCTGTACACAAACACACACATTTAGGAAATTGAAATTATAGCTGCAATGGCAAGATGGTGAACACAGGAGGGCAGCATGGAATTCTCAGTTTCTTTAACATTGAAGGTGTTTTTCCTTAAAAGTGATTGTAAGTTTTGGGGCCGGCCTGGTGGCACACTGCTACAGTGCGCTGCTTGGGAAGTGCGATGGTGCTCCCGCCGAGGGTTCGGATCCCACATACAGACCGGTTCCCGCTCACTGTGGGGCCGGCCCGGTGGCGCACTGCTATAGTGCGCCGCTTGGAAGCGTGGTGGCGCTCCCGCCGAGGGTTCAGATCCCACATACAGACCGGTTCCCGCTCACTGGCTGAGCGAGGCGCGGGAGCAACACCGAGGGTTGCGATCCCGTTGCCGGTCCCGGTCCGGTACGGGGGCGACACTGAGGGTTGTAATCCGTTGCCGGACACGGAAAAAGGGAAAAAAAAAAAGTGATTGTAAGTTTTAATTTAGGATCTTTTAAAATCTAGAATTATATTCTAATCAGTCATCTTAGCATTGTCAGCATTGTTAATCTGCTGAACCTAGATAATAGAGCTTCCTTTCCTATAGCATTTGATTATATTGGATTTAAAAACACTTTTTCTTAAAAAGAAAAATTCCTTAAAATGATTACGTATCTATTATGCTTAGCATCCAATGTATTCTATGAGATTACTATATAAGTTATATTTGGTTGGTCAGTTAGACTAATTAGCATAAGGCATCCAATTGAAAGTAAAGCTGAAATGAACTATTTAATTCTGTTAAAGAAAACTGAGTGAAGAGATAGGCCTTCTTCTTCTGTAGCATGGTTTTAATGAGACAGCTTGAGTTGAGTCCTGTTCTACATCAAAAAAGGAACACAAATCCCTTGATGTTCTATTTCTGGCTCTACCAGAGGCTTTGCTATTACACCCAGAGCAAGATGGAACCTGCTGCTTTTCTCCCTTTTGCAAAATCTAGGTAATGCTTTTTCATAGGAGTAGCACCACAAATGACCTTGACCTGTTTCGTAACTGTGAATGCATTTTTATTGCCATATGTTCATGAGAAATGAAAGTCTGATAGTGTGTGTGTGTGTGTGTGTGTGTGTGTGATGAGTTAGTTTGAGGCTAAAACTTTAAAATCTGGAATATGTAGTTTATCAGCTGCTTTTTAAAATTCCAGTTTTCAAATATAAACAAAAAAGAATAAGATAAATGTTTCTAGTAATAATCAAAACAGCAAGAAAGAAGTTGAAAGGGTTGCCTTATAAATCAAGGTCTATTTTCAGGGAGGGAGAATACACTTTTGATTTTCAATAAGATTAGTAAGAGTATCTGAAATGCATTATAGGTGTCCAAGGTGATGTTGAATGATGCTGGTTTGCTGGAAAGCAAATGTCAAAAGTAAATCGAGGGCTGGCCCGGTGGCGCACTGCTACAGTGTGCCGCTTGGGAGTGTGGCGGTGCTCCCGCCGAGGGTTCGGATCCCACATACAGACCAGTTCCCACTCACTGGCTGAGCGGGGTGCGGGCGCGGCGCCGAGGGTTGCGATCCCGTTGCCGGTCCCGGTCCGGTACGGGTGCGACACTGAGGGTTGCGATCTGTTGCCGGACATGAAAAAAGACAAAAAGGAAAAAAAAAAAAAAGAAAATCGATGTATTCATGGGAGTTTACATGGCAAAACCATTGAGAAGTTTGTGGTAATATGCTTTAGAATGACTGTTGAGCACTCTAAGATCTTTCCATCAGTCCCAATACTGACGCTGAGGGCCGGGGATTGATGGTACATGAAATAAGAAATACTCTTAAATGTGGTGATCTTGCAGGGTTCTAGCTATTCAGAAGATTCTTATCTATTTTAGGTGACTATTATTGGCCTCCATCACTGTGGGAGAGCTCAGTGCTTATTTTAGCAATTGGATAAGACACACATTGTGATTTTACTTGTTTTTTAAGAGAGTTCAGGTCAGAACACAGGCAAAGAAATCAACTACTTCAAAATATTGAGCTGGTTAGTGAAGTGCTTAATCCTCCACTTCTGTAAATTCCAAGTGGAGGTAATTTACACTAGAATAACTAGCCTGGCTTGCCTCTGCTCCCTTCCTCACTCCTCCCCAGGGAAGGAGGAACATCTTCTCTGACCCGTGTGTTTGAAGAAGGAACTGAGCAGGGAGTGGCAGTCTCTTCTGCCTCCAGGCTTCTGAGATCTGCTGACCTGCAAGAGCTAGTATGAATTCTGTTTTCTGCAACTGAGCCCATCCAGTGTACTTGCCTGGTGCTTTTGGCCATGCTATTATTAATGTTAATTATTTGAATACTGGGATGAATTTTGCATAAAGAATGAAGACAATCTCTACTCATAAAATTCCCCCATCAACTATCACCTCATTTCAGTAACTCAGAGGAGAAATCTCCTTCATATATGCTGGTATTCAGATGAAATTGGAAATAATGAGTATTCTGTCTTTTGTTCTTCCTCATATTCCTCTATACTCTTGATGGCAGTAGCTGTAGCAGTGCAGAGTGAATGGAAAAAGTA